TATAAAAGAAAATATATAATATATAACATATAAATTAAAATATATAATATATAATATATAATATATAATATATAACATATAATGTATAACATATAAAATAAAGCATATAACATACAATATATAATATATAACATATAATGTATAACATATAAAATAAAGCATATAACAAATAAAGCATATAACATATAATATATAATATATAACATATAATGTATAACATATAAAATAAAGCATATAACATAATAATAATAATAATAATAATGATAATCATAATAATAATAATAGTAATAATAATAATTGTATATATACACACTGTATAATATATAACATAATATATATTATATATTATACATTATATTTGATCAGTTTACTGTGCCCTCCGACCTGAAGTGCTCTCTGCATTCCATAAAGACGACAGGCCCGTGCCCTCACCTTACATGGAAGATTGTACCGTGGTACAACCCAGTGCAACGGAATGGTTGAGGTCCAGGACCAACTCCTCATACTTGCACTCGTGCTGCAAGACGTTCCCGAGAGACGTACACTTAGGATGCCGTTGACGTGATGGACATTCCCTTCTACGTGTACTGAGGCCGCGGGCGAATCCTGTGTTTGAAACAGGGCTAAGAGTGTGTGGTGCCGAAGAGGCTACTGCATTCGAGACCACACACTCTTGGGAGGGGGACTTTCCTTGGCTTCGCCCTTTCGCTTTGAGAGCTTTTGAGCGATGTGTGGGCCTTGTGTTGTAGCTTGCAAGTCTGAGCAGTCGTCGCGGGCATTCCTTCGTGACCCACACCGGAACCCAGACTTCAACACTCCTTGCACCGCATCAGGGCCGAACCGAAGAGTGTTGTTGAAACCTGAAGAATTTGTGGAGAAAAGACAGAAGCCAAACACCCTGAACCGACAATTGCAGTCCCGCTTGTGGCAGTCGTAGGCAGAGGTCCAGCAGAAAGCAATAGGTCCTCAGATCCGTGCAGTTATTCCATGACTCATGCCAAGGTCTAGGCCACCCAGGGCTGTCCATAGCTTGAGGCTCTCAATCCAGATCCTTCAGCCTCTAAAGCTTATTCGCCCAGAACATCCAAGCCGCACAGCGACGGCAGAGTCAAACCTAGAACATGTACCTCGAGTCATGATGATGTTGTTGTTGATGGTTATGATGCTGATGATGATGTTGATGGTGATGACCGTGGCACTGATGATGCTGATAATTGCCATCCTATGGTGGATCGCCCCCGTGCTGTCATCATGGTTATAAGTTGTAACATCACTTGAAGTGTCATTGTCATCGACATCATCGTTACTATGAATTCCATGGTTGTTGCCAGAGAAAGTTCCTTCTGTTGGGACTCTGTCTTTCTATGCCTATGAGTCTTATTGCCCACGGTTTTGGAAATGAATCTCTTGTGACCAACATTACTCTCGTAAACTCGTAGCCGGGCAGTCAGGTGTCTTGCAAGCATCCCGCCGGCCGTCGAGCAGATGGCTGAGGCTTGGATTAGCCATTATGAACCATGTCGGGATCACGTGCGTGTGTGTACGTATTTATTTATGCATGCATGCATGTATGCATGTATGTACCTACCTACCTACCTACCTACCGACCGACCGACCGACCGACCTACCTACCTACCTGCCTGCCTGCCTGCCTGCCTGCCTGCCTGCTTGCCTGCCTGCCTGCCTGCCTGCCGACCTACCTGCCGACCTACCTAACGACATATATATATATATATATACACACACATACATATACATACACGAACACATATGTGCACACATGCATGCTTACATACATACATACATACATACATACATGCATGCATGCATGC